TCATTAAATCTCGTATCTCATCACAAAAATTAGGCTCTCGAGACTTCTGGAGAATCTTTAACAGTATCAATAATAAGGGCAAATCTGTTATTCCTTCTCTCTTGTATGGTTCAGACTTTGTCACCTCACCTAAAGACAAAGCTGAATTGTTTGCAAAGAACTTTTCATCAATATCATCTCTTGATTCCACTAGTTGCGTTTTACCTGACATAGCCGTCAAACAGGTTGATCCCTTGCTTGACATTCGCATCACTTCAGCTTCTGTATCTAAAGTAATTTCCTGCTTAGACTCTTCAACAGCTTGTGGTCCTGACAACATTCCTGTTGTAGTCTTGCAGAGGTGTTCTCCGGAGCTTTCATCCATACTTTCTAAACTATTTAACAAGTGCTTATCAGAGTCTTGTTTTCCATCATGCTGGAAAGCAGCATCTGTTATCCCTATTTTCAAAAATTCCGGAGAGCGATCTGATTCATCTAACTACCGCCCCATTAGTCTTCTTCCTGTCATAAGCAAGATTTTTGAATCTTTAATCAACAAACACTTAATCTCTCATCTTGAATCAAATAACTTACTTTCTGATCATCAATATGGATTTCGGTCTTCTCGTTCTACAGCTGATGTGCTAACAGTAATAACCGATAGGTTTTACCGTGCATTAGATAGAGGTGGAGAGGTTAAGGCTGTCGCACTTGACATTTCTAAAGCTTTTGATAAAGTTTGGCATGCTGGTCTTCTCCATAAGCTTTCTTCTTATGGTGTAGCTGGTAACGTCTTTAAGATTATTGAGTCCTTTCTTTCTAATCGTAGTATAAAAGTTGTCCTCGATGGACAACACTCTTCTTCACATCCTGTAACTTCAGGGGTTCCTCAAGGTTCAATCCTTGGCCCTATACTCTTTTTAATTTACATTAACGATCTTCCAGATATTCTCACATCTAAGGTGGCATTATTCGCTGACGACACTACCATTTACTCTTGTCATGATAAGAAGCCTACACTCTCTGATTGCTTGGAGGGGGTATCTGAGCTTGAAAAGGATCTCACTTCTGCTACAGCATGGGGCTCACAGTGGCTGGTGAACTTTAATTCAGATAAAACTCAATTTTATTCGGCCAATCGTTATCGTAATAATTTAGATCTTCCTATATTTATGAATGGTAATGTACTAGATGAGTCATCTACCATTCATCTTCTAGGATTAACTCTTACTTCTGATCTTTCTTTTAAACCGTATATCAAATCCATTGCAAAATTAGCATCTGCTAAGGTTGCATCACTCTATCGAGCTCGACACTTTCTTACTCCAGATTCTATTCTCTATCTCTATAAATCTCAAATCCGTCCCTGTATGGAATACTGTTGCCACATCTGGGGTGGATCTTCTAATGATGCTCTTTCTCTTTTAGACAAGGTGCAAAAACGAATTGTAAACATAGTTGGACCTGCTCTGGCAGCCAATCTCCAACCTTTGTCACATCGTCGTAATGTTGCTTCTCTTTCTCTTTTCTACAAATACTATAATGGGCACTGCTCTAAAGAGCTAGCGTCCCTTGTGCCATCTACTAAAATTCATTCTCGTGTTACTCGCCATTCAATTAAGTCTCATCCTTTTTCTGTGACTGTTCCTAAGTGCTTCAAAAACTCTTATTCTTCTAGTTTTTTTCCTCGAACATCAGTTCTTTGGAATTCGCTTCCTTCATCTTGCTTTCCTGATTCATATAATTTGCAATCTTTTAAGTCATCAGTCAATCGTTATCTTGCTCTACAGATTTAGTCTTTTCTCTTCCAGTAACTTCCAACTCTTATAGTGGTTGCTTGCAGCCTTGTTGGAAGTGAAGATGTAAAAAAAAAAAAAAAAAAAAAAAAAGATTTTGTGGCTTGCACAATGGATGGCTGTTATATTAAATTTAGGCAGAGAATCACCTACAATCACCCAACTGTGTTATAATTACGCGTTGCATTTGGCTGTAATTGACGTTATGACTGAAAACTCGGAGGTTGTTGATAACAAAGAGTCGTCTCCAGATTCTACTGATGATGAAAATGATGAGTCCAATTATGATATGGATATTGAAAACCAGTCATCATCACTTAATTTGTCATCTTTAATGAAATTAAAGCTGGAACCTCTACTTAAAGTAGTTAAATACTTTTAAAAATTGACCGTTAAAAACAATGTACTACAACAACATAAAAAACCGTTGGAATTGTTACTAGATGTGAAAACACGTTGGAATTCCATTGATACAATGTTAGAGCCTGCATTATTACTTCAAAATAGTATAAAAAATGCACTTGAAGATTTAGATAGTATTCGTCTGTACGATAGCTTAGATTTTTATTTTTACGCTAATCTTGCGGAAGTATTAAAACCAATAGAACTAACTGTTGAAGCGTTAAGTCGCTCAGATGCAAATTTACTTACAGCTGAAGGCGCTATTAATTTTTTGTACAAAAAATTGTCAGATATTGGAACGGATTTATCAGAACGATTTCTCGAAAGAGTGAAAATCAGAATTAATGAACAGCGTAATGATGATTTGATTAAGTTGATGCAATTTACATAGCCTCCCCCCCCCCCATCCACACAATCACATCAAATGGTGGATGGTGCTATTGAACTTTTAAATTGCTTATATCCTCTTGAAAACAACGATGATGGCAACCAAAATAATGAAGTTATAGAAACTACATCCCTAGAAAATGAATTTGCCAGTCTTTTAGATAAATTGAATTCATCTATCGCAAAAGCAACCGAAGAAAAACAAAGTTCAACTAGTTTTGATAAACTAGACAAGAGTTTAATTTATTCAAATTAACAGGGAAAAAAACGGAAAACATCGGATTGTTACAAAATTCATTAAAAACAATCTGTCCAACCTCTACTCAATTGGAAAGAATTTTTTCGTTATCGTCTAATTTTTTTACAAAAATAAGATCTAGATTATCAGACAAATCTTTGAATGCATTAGTATTCCTAAAATCTTATTTTTTAAATAAATAAACAATATTTTGGAATAAATTTAGTTGTTTTTTTTTTCCTTAAAAAATTAATCGGTGTCTTCCCATTATGCATGATTCCTGTTATGCATAATTCCTGACAGGAATTATGCATAATGGGGTGGAACCAATTAATTTTCTCACAAAAAATCAGAAAAAAAAGCCCAAAATTATTTGCAAATAATTGACAACAATTCGCGAATAATGAATAGTGAATTTTGACCAATTATTCACAAATATGGGTTACGAATATATTCGAACCAGAAATCCTAATCCCAACAGCATCAGCATGGTTTTGTATAAGTTCTCTGAACAGTGATGGAGATGTGTAAAAGTTATCCATGAACACTGTATAACCCTTACCAACAAGATCGTGCAGTATTGTCAAGATGATTCTGGAAATCTTCAGTTTATACTTAGATGCTTGCAATTACGTTGCAGGTCCAATATGAGTGAATTCTTTCCAGATATAACCACTGAGCAGGTATGATTTCAAATCAAATCGAGCTCGTTTCAGTGGTATATTTTTTTTCATTGCTAATCTTCCCTCCCGGAACATCAGGGAGGGAAAATTAGCAATCATCATCGTTGATCGCTACATTCTGGTCAGGTGTATACACTATTGAAAATCTGGAAACAACCGCTTTGAAAAAGGGTTTGATTTTATTGAAAGACTTCTCTGTATTAGAGCTACTGGGAGGGCCGTCTTGTCAACAAAATGCAAACATTTCATAAGAAGGAGGAATCAATCTACGGACATTATACGTCACACATAAAGTGTGGTTAACATTGGATTATTAGTCCAATACATTGCCAATTCCGGCTTTTGTACTAACCGCTGGTACAAAAATAAGGCTAGAATAACTTTCATCTCACAAGGATTTGTATCTTTCTACTTTTTCAACCTTGATTTTTTTTTCATATGTGGATTTGCAAATAGCTGAGAATAATGGTGGTTACTTTCTATTAAAATTATATCAACAATATTGTATAATAAATTGCTGTCAATAAATGTCATAAATTGTTCAAAATATTTGAGAGGGTCATCTGATGACATTATATGAATTTTTAGGCCAGGAGTGCCTGTGAATGGCAGTTGCTGTTGTATCTGCTATAGTGCATTAGTCCATTGAAACAATTTATTGACATCAACATCATAATCAAATGTTCCATCATCTGCAACAGACCCAGCATTAGAATCCTCGTTGCAACTGTTGAACTGGAATCAATGTGTTGAATTAACACTTCCAATTTGGCTGCTGTCAATTTACATTTTCTGGAATCTTATTTTGTATCTGTCATAATTTATTTTTGTGGTTTATTTCTGGAATCTAAAACAAATGAAAAAATATAACTTTTTACAAATATCTAAAAAACAAAAGAAAATAAAACCACTAAATTTTTCCTAAAATTTTCCTCATTCATACCTTCTCTTCAAACTATTCAAGCCAAAATAAATAAATAAAAAAAACTTTAAAAAAAAGCAAATATGATAAACGTTCAATACAATGTGCTCTTTTCATTCAAATAAGAAAAGTAAAACAACGATAATACGTGTACAACCTAGATGTCAATGTCAGTAAAAAAATGTAGTATTATGGTCGTCACATTGTGGTAAAATTTAGTTAAACCGTAATACTATGGTCACCACAGGAAAGGAGTTAAACATCTGAACAGTTGTGGTCAAGTTATCAAAAAATAAAATCATTTGCATGGTCAGCAATAGTGCTTGATCACGCGCCATTCCTGTCCAAACCTGCAGTATATTTTTGTTGCTTTGTTATAAACAAAAGTTTTATTAAAAAAATCTTTGTGAAACAAAAAAATTAACTTTTTTATTTTGTAAAAGTTTTTGTTGCCTTCTTATACATAGTTTGGTTTAATGTAATGAAATAAGTTTTTTTTGTTTTTTGTTTATATATATAGAAATTTAAAATTTCAATACTTAAGTAAAGATTTAATAAATTAATTGCTTCACTTTTTTTTTTTTTTTATTTAGAATGTAGCAAGCCACTTGGTCTTGAGAGTAAAAAAATTCTTGATAATGCAATATTTGCACCACCAAGTGCTGTTGCTAGCGGCAAAGAAGGATATTATGCTCGTTTGAATAATAAATTAGCTTGGTGTATACCAAACTCACCTAATAGTAAAGATTCTGTTTTTAAAGATGATGTGTATATAACTATAGATCTTATTGACGAATATCAGATCACTGCAATATCTCTTCAAGGATACAAGTTGTATAGTGTTGGCCCGATGATTAGAATTTCCTATGAGATTCTAGATCATGGATTTTTTGAATATAAGACAAAAAATGATGAGTCAGATGTAAGATTTATTTAATTTATAAGTTTTAAACTAAAGTATGTTGTTGAAACTTTTACATTTATATTGTAAAAGCAAATAAGAAATTAATTTAGAATAATGTTTTGTTGTTATTTGTTATATAGAAACGCGCAGTTTGTTTATATTATAAAATTACAGTTAGTTTCTTTTTCACGATTTGCACAAATCCCCTAATAATGACTTAAGCAATTATAAAATCACAAAAAGTTAGTCAACAACAAAATAAACAATAAACGAAATATTTTCTTCTTTAAATTTTACAAAAATTACACTTTTATTTAATTACACAATTATAAATTTTAACATTTTAACACTAGAGGCCTTTCAAAAAATCATCAGTAGTGCTGTTTTTGTTATCATAACAACAAAATATAATTTTTTTTTTTAAAAAAAGAAACAGAAAATGATAATTATTTAATGTTGCTGCTAGCAACTATTGTAATCTATATTGTAATGTCAATTAAAAGTATCTTGTGTTTGGTTGTGAAAATGCTTCTTATAAGAAATTAGGTTTTTTTCATTTTTTAGCTCCACAAACACAAAAAGCTGGAAAAAAGGTTCTATAATGGTGTTATGCGCATGTTGACAACTGTAAACATGGTTATCAAACCTATATGTTGATTACCCAGTTCTACAACTAGAAATGTGCCTGTTTGTGCGTAGCTCATTTGTTTTTCCGGTGTATGTAGCTTTCTTGTTACATGACAAACATTTTAAATAGTATATTACATTCTTACTATTACAAGTAATATGGCTTTTTATGTTCCATTTGATGTCTTAAATTACCATGTCTTAAAGTACCATTTGATGTCTTAAATGATTTAACTTCTTGGAGGTAGAGTTTACATATTTTAAAATGATTATCATTACGTTTAAATAATCCTACTTCTTTACTGGTTGATTGAATTTTTAAAAAAGTAAGTGTTTTCAGTAGATTGGGTGGTTGTTTAAACGCAATTACTGTTTGGATATTAGAAAAAACTTCTTTCACTCTTTCATTTGAAGATAGATTAAGCAAAAGATTTGTTTCCGTAATAAAAGGTTGGCAGTTCAGATTGCTGTAAAAAGTTGTAAAAAAAGGAAATAATCCGTTTTTATTTTTCTGTTATTTTCAAGAATAATAGATATGTCTAAGAAATTAATAATATTATAAGTATTACCATCTATTATAAATTCTTTGCCTGTGTCTGTTGTAAAACTGATGGAATTATCTATTTTGGTCAAAGAGTTTTTAAACTTAACAATATCTAAATGTTTTGGCCAGATTAAGAAACCATCATCAATATATCAATAATAAAATTCCTGTATGTCATTTACATTTTTGTTGGAAACGTATTTAGGTAAATTCTTAGGAAAAAGTGTTGTTTCTTCTAAATATCTTATTGTTAGGCGTGCATAATCTGGAGCGAAATTTGTACCCATGGCGGTTCCAATAATTTGCCAAAACATTTGGTCGTTGAATAGAAAGTTGTTGTTTTTTAAAATAAAGTTGTTGATTCAGTTGTTGATTTAATGATGAATTCAGGAGTAAATCTTTTATCTATTAAACTTTTATGTTTTTCAATCCAGTACTTTAATGCTTCTATACCTAAGTTGTGTGGAATACTAGTATATAGATTAACAATGTCACAAGTCAAAATACAACTATCTGAATTTAACGCTCGTATCTTTCTTAAGAAATCCCAATCATCTTTAATGAAAGTTTTTTGTTTTGTTACAATCGGAGACAAAATTATATGTAAGAACTGGCTTTAATGTGATGTTGGTGAATTAATTCCAGCAATAATTGGTCTACCTTTGAGATCTTTTGGTGGTTTTATCTCGATATAAAGTGAGTTTGATGCATTAACTTTGTCTATAATTTCTTGACATTTATAAATTTTCGGAGTTATGTAGAAACTACTAGATTTCCATTTAAAATTTGTGATGTAATTTATTTCATTTTTTGTTAGAAAATTATATTTTCCTATCATTTTTATTAGATCTCTAAAAACTATTTTATCTGATTCAGGTTGTGTCCTTTCATAAGTACTTGTGGAGAGCAGTTGGTCTTGATGAACTAGCTTTTCATTATAATAAGTTGAATCCATTACAACAAAAGTGTTTCCCTTGTCTGCTTTTTTAATAACTATATTTTTCATTTCTTTTAGATCTTTTAATGCTATCCTTTCTTGTTGAGTTATGTTGTCAACTGACTGCATTTTGATAGGTTTAATTTGTTCAATTTTTGAAATGATTTCATCAGAGTATGGTAGAGTTGTTTTAATATTATAATTTGACTTTTTTTAATTATGCTTATGTCTGTCTTCTCTGTTCCATGTAATTTTTCTTTAAGTATTAGTTTCCTTGTGAATTGTTTTATATCAGAATCAATGTGTAAAATATTTTCTTTAGTAGTATAGCAAAACTTTAGACTTTTTGTAAGAAGTGATATTTGAGATGTTGTCAGGTGTTTTGTTGATAAGTTGATGACCTTAGGTTGTATTTTTTTTTTGGATTGGGCTTGACCAGTTTTTTGAAGTTATAATGTCTGATGTTTGATTATGATTACTATCTATATTTGTTGAGCTAGAGGAAGTTGAGCAATTGATATTATGGTCTTGGTGGTTATCCTCTTGTTCGTTATTTTTCATATGCCATTTTAGTAGAAGCTAATTTTTTAGCCCATTTTTTGCCAATGCGATCAATATCCTCTTTTTTACATTCCTCGTAACTAGTTTTTCTTTAACTTCTTCACTAGACACAAGATTGTTAATAAAACTAGTTACTTCATCCTCAAGGTTTTTTAATGAAGAAAGAAAATTATCTTTTCTTATTGTAAGAATCTCACACTCAGATTTAAGGCGCTGTAACTCAAATTTTTTTATTGCATTTTTTTCGTCATATGACATAAAATAGAAGTTGTCACTTCTAAACTTTTTAAGAATAAACAAAGGTTCTTGTTGTAAGCAGTCATGATAAATATTAAGAAGGTTTGTACATCTACTATGTTTGTAGTAGAGATATTCATGTTTTTCTAATGATTTTATATAATACCTTTGATGTTGATTTTTAAACTTCATGTATACCTTTTCTACATTATCATTTAAGGTAGTGTTATGTTGCTGGTGTATAGATAAAAAGTCTTTAAGTGTTGATTCTATAGTTTCTCTAATTAATGGCTTTATATCACTAATAATTAAATGTAAAGTGTCTTTCAGTTTATTAAAAACTTCATAAAGCTTATCTGAATAATCTGAGAATTGCTTATCAGCTGACATTTTAACAATATAACTTGAAATATGTTTATAGCCAATAAGTAAAAGAAAAATTTGCAAAATAAACATTCATCGGAAAAACAAATAACCTACGACTTCGCACAAATGGGCACATTTCTAGTTGTAGAACTGGGCAATCAACAGATAGGTTTGATAACCATGTTTACAATTGTCAACATGCGCATAACACCATTATAGAACCTTTTTTCCAGCTTTTTGTGTTTGTGGAGCTAAAAAATGAAAAAAACCTAATTTCTTATAAGAAGCATTTTCACAACCAAACACATGATACTTTTAATTGACATTACAATAGTTGCTAGCAGCAACATTAAATAATTATCATTTCCTGTTGTTTTTTTTTTTTTTTTTCTTTTTAAATTATATTTTGTTGTTATGATAACAAAAATAGCACTACTGATGATTTTTTGAAATTTTTGTAAAATATAAAGAAAATATTGTTTGTTTTGTTGACTAACTTTTTTTACTTATATATACTTTATAATATATATATGTATATATATATATATATATATATATATATATATATATATATATATATATATATATATATATATATATATATATATATATATATATATATACACATATAAATATATATATATACACATATAAATATATATATATATATATATATATATATATATATATATATATATATATATATATATATATATATACACATATAAATATATATATATATACACATATAAATATATATATATATATACACATATAAATATATATATATACACATATAAATATATATATATATATATATATATATATATATATATATATATATATATATATATATATATATATATATATATATGTGGATCATTCTCCTAAAAAGTAGCAATATACTGTCCCCACTAATTTTTTTTTCAAGTTAATACTATTTATACCTTAAACCAGTGCAAATAACAAATATACAGCTAATACAATATTAAACTGATGAAAACCAATCCATAATAGCATTTTCAGTGAATAAATAGTGTTTCACAGACTGTGACAAGTCACGTCCGTGGAATGTCACCACCCAGACTTTTTGCTAATCCCAAGAAGTTTATACCTTGTTGCTAGTACTTTACTTTTATTTTAATATATAATAAATAATCAAGAACACATTAAAATTAGAGTTGACATAATATTTTCCTCAAAACATATTTTTAAAGTAACTTTTATGTAATTGAAGCTCTTGTCACCACCTTCAATGTCATGTCTGTGGATAGAGTTATTAATTCCAAAAAAAGCTGTAGGAGGTAGCAGTAGTTCTCTATGTTGCTGTTCTAGCTAAACTATCAGACATTTTTATTAATGAGTAATAGTGGGGGAATTTTTGGTGTAGTTGTTTAGTACTGATAAGTATTAAAGTTTTAAAAGTTGAATTTGTTAGTCTTAGTGTGTCACATCTGTGGCAAACATACTCAGGGTAAATAATTTTACTTTTTTATAAGCAATACTTTTGTTTAAAAGCAATTACCGAGACATTTTTACTCCGAGGGGAACAAAGTCCTAGCCTCAAAACATAGCACTCCTTTTAGGGTTTTTCCTTCAATTTGTCACGTCTGTGAATGTCATGTCTGTGGAGTACAGAAAGCAACAGATGTGACACACATGGAACGGATGTGACAACAAATGACAATTTTACCTGTACCTGAATTTTTTAATACTTATTTTTAGCATTTTTAACATTTAAAAACTTTCCTCATATATATATTAAAATATTTCCTCATATATTAATTATTATTGAAAAGATAAATGTTTCTATCCAGATAGTTATAATTTTTTCTTTACTTACAGTTAACAAAAATGGGAAAGATAGAAAAAACTAGAGAATTGAAAAAGCTAAGTATGTGGAAAGCGAGGGAAAAGATGAAAGCTGAAAACCCAGACAAATATGAAGAACAAAAACGGAAAGATAGAGAAAGAAAAAAAGCAACACGAAAGAAAATTCATGAACTTTCAGAAAGGGATAAAAGATCAGTAAGAAAAGGTTGGAAAGAAAGGACCAAGAGAAGTCGGGGAATGAAAAAGAAGAGACAGCAACTTATTGAAAGTTTGTCTCACTACCTGAAAGCCCAACTATTCCTATCGAAAATGAAATAGGCATAAATGTATTTCCTGGTCCCAGTCAGGAATCTAGTTTCAGAAAAAGAAGCGGGCTAAAAGTTTGTAGAAAATATAGAGATGGGTTGAAGAAAAAAATCCAAAAATTAGAAGGAAAAAATAATTTGTTAAAGCAAAGAGGTGATAAATACAAACAAAAGTTCTACAGATTGTGGAATTCAAAAGATAATACTCCTCAAAAGGTGGTTAAAAAAATGACCAGTGGTACGAAATGCTCAAAAGAAGTAAAGAAAAGCTTGCTTTTTAGCGAAGTGTTAAAGACACAAATACAATCAAATTTTTCTACTGAGAGTTGTATTGACAAAAAAAAAAAGGATTTTTCCAGGGTATTTAAGCGGAAAGATAGTACAGACTTCAAAGAAGCCTTAACAATCTTACTTCAAGATATATCTTACCATACAACTTAAATCAGCCTACAAATGTACTGAAAAAACAAAAACTTGAAATAAAAGTTGGGAACTTTTTAGAAAAAGAGTTCCAGTAGGCTTACTGCTGGGAAAGAAGAAACAATAACAAGGAACAAAGTGAAAAAACAAAAAAGAATACTAAATGATACAATGTTGAATTTGTGGAATGAGTTCAAACAAACAACTGAGTTCAAGTCAATGTCTTATAGCACATTTTGTAAATTAAGACCCTTTTGGGTTGTTCAACCAGACTTTCGTAAACAAGATACTTGTTTATGTATTGACCATGAGAATTTTTCTTTGATTCTTGAAAAGTTGTATAGTCTTAAGGTCGAAGAAAGAAAAGAAAAGTGTCCAAGTATAACCATCTATACTATTAACAACACAGATTTCAATCTCTATGAGAAATGTGTACTGGAAAACATAACAACTTTCAAGAGGACTTTACAAGTTTATGAGGTGGTTTTGAGTTCCACTAAAAAAGAAATATTGTATATGAGAAGGTTGACATGCACTGGATGTGACAATGATACAAAATGCAAACACTATAGCATTGGAGAAGTACTAATCCCTGTGGATTTTTTGACGGATCTTCATCCTCGTATCGAAATCTTTATTGTAAAATAGTTATTTAACTTGTTTCTGTTTCATTAATAATTTTTTGTGCCTCTGTTTTAAGAAATTCCTTTACATGGTTTAGCAGGTCAACAATTCTTGAAAATGAAAAAAACGCCAGCTGAAGAAACAACATCTAAATATTTGGCTCAAGAATCCCAAGGACTGGGTAATTGTGAAAAGAAATTGACAAGACTAAGTAACCACAGTGTTTACAGCGATAATGAGGAGGACAGCTTGTCTATTAAAATCAATGATTTTGTAATTGTCAAGTTTCAAACATCAAAAAAGAAAAAGTGAAATACTATGTTGGATTAATTCAAGCCTTAGGTACAGATGAGTTTGTCATAAAGTTTTTGAGAAGATCTGCCCAGGAATTTTTTATGTTTCCAGAGAAAGATGACACCTCTGTTATTGATAAGAGTCATGTAATGCTGAGGTTGTGTCAGCCAAACCTCAATAACAGAGGGCAATATTGTTTTCCACAAGACTTACCATTCAAAAACATTTGCTAATTTACTAACTAGTAATATTTAAAATTTTGTAACAACTTGTACCATGTACTATTTTATGTCAACTATTAAAAACTGTTGATTAAAGATGGTTATTATTTTTGTAAATTACCTGACAGACACTTATAGCTGTTACAACATAAAGCGATACTATTCATAATGTCATGTCTGTGGTAAATTTGTCATGTCTGTGGATTACGCTAAAAGTGTAATCCACAGACGTGACAAATTTTTTTTTTGTAAACTGACTTTTAACAAGGTGTGCAGATACTTACAAATGATTAAATATACTAAAAGCTATAACAGCAAAAAATTTGGTTTGGAAATTTTATTATTTAAATTTAATAAAAATATTTATTGAAAATGTTACTTTTCAGGAGAATGACCCATATATATATATATATAGCCACCCAAATTAAAATTTGAGGACCTTAAATTTCTCTGATGTGGGGGGTTAAGTTAAATTACTCTGATGTGGGGGGCTGGGGGTACCACCGCCCAAATTTTCCTAGAATAGGCCCTTCCATCATCATCCCATAATCAGTTCAGTTAAACAAACAAGTTATGAAAGTATAAACAAACACTAGAATGAAGAAATGCTTTTCTTTTTTCTTGTTTCAAGCATTTTATCTAATGCATTAATTTAGTCTTTTGCAACCCGCTATTTCATTAACGCAACTTTACAAGGTTTGTATTATATGCAGGGGTCCTGAATATATATATATATATATATATATATATATATATATATATATATATATATATATATATATATATATATATATAATATATTTGTTAAATATTGTTAAAACCGCTGATTTTCTGTTAAAGTTTGCCGAAAGGAGGGGGTTCTATCGTCCAAATTTTTTGCCGAGAACAGGCCCTGTATATATATATATAAACATACATACATAAATATATACATACAGGCCTTGGTGGGAAGTGAGAGCTTTAGCTCTTGCTTCCCACATAATGTGTAATGCTTTTAATGTTTTTCCCACATAATGTGTAATGCTTCTTTGATTTTTAAGTGATGTGAAGTTTGGGCATAGTTTAATACTGAAAAAGAGTCTTCATTGGCTACATTAAAGCAACTAGTTTTTGAATAAATATGTTTATTTGTATAAAAAGTTTTTGTAATTTTAAATGTTCTTTAATTTTTTTACTCAATTGTGGAGTGGTTTGACCCTCATAACTAGCATTACAGCTGTAATGCTTGTTATGTGGGTCAAACCAAAAAAAATTAGTGTAAAGAATTTTAAAAAGCTGTTTATAAAATTTTCAAATGTTTATGATTATGTTTTTTTATTATTAACTTTAAATGAAACTTGTTTTAGTTTCTTGTTTTGTTTATATAGATTCATGTGCAGCAAAGTGTAAATGATGATTATCAGTATTTAATATTGGATGGGTCAATTTTTACAAGAAAAATTAAAGTGTATCTGCTGACTGATGCAAACATTAAATGTTTACGCATGGAGCTATATGGGTGCAACACCACAGCATTTAAGGAATATGCTGGTATATTTATTACTTTCACTTTCATTTTGTTTCAAATCTGTATTAAGAATAATGCAAAAAATTTATTTTAGCATAAAAATTATTATTCATAACCAGGAGAAATGTTTACAAACAGCTATTGGCTTTTCTGTTGTGTTTGCACAAATGCTCTTTTAGTATTATAATATTTATAGTTAAAGTCTAATTTTGTAGGTCTATACCCTAAATTCATATCTTAATATTTTTTCATTTTTATTTGATTTTACCTTTTTTATCAACTTTCTCAAGTTTGAAGAAGCAGTGAGCAATAAAAATGAGTTCAAAATGTTTTGTTTTTTTCCACATTGGTTTGTTACATCTAAAAACAAACATCAATTGCTTTTCCCACAATTAACTTGTTTTGCAATTCATGAGTGAGTGTTTTTTTGTGATAGTGGAACTTTCATACAATATTTACAAATTTTTCTTTTTTTCCTCTAAATATTTTTATTAAAATTTTCTGTTAAGCAAAAAAAGTGTTCGCCATTCTGGCCAATTCAAAGTTATCAAAATTGCAATAAGATAATAGCTCTGAGAGTGTTGGATTATTTTCCACATTGCAGATTTTTAGAACAATATATTAACAGATTATGTGAAAATAATTATATTATCTGACTCCTGTCGACCATGAGGACCTTTCAAATGAGATCCATTACAAAATAATCGTAGGTTTTCAGAAGAGTTTTATAAAACTTCAACAAAGAAAAGGAACGGTTGATAAGTTGTGGCTATGTTATTCTCCTAAAATTGATGCAGTATATTGTGAACCTTGTTGGTTATTTTCAAAACTCTATGTTAACTGGCAAACACTGAAGCTGACATAACCTTGTAAAAAAATTAAAAGGACAGAAAAAAAGTCAGCATCACATGCAATCATGTTGTATATATGAAAAGTGGAAGCAAAATGAAACAATTGATAAAAGCTAAGAATAGAAAATTCGAAATACATTAAAATTTTGGGTGCAAGAGCTGTTAAAGTTAGACCGACTTATTAATATAACATTAGTACTTTCTAAAAATTGTTTGGCTTTCTGGTCATTGTGAATCATTTAAGGATGAATATAATAGTAATTTTTTAACCCAAGTACATCTTTTATCAAAATATGATACTGTTATGAAACAAGTTTAAAAATACCCCATGGAACTATAATATATTTAAGTCATCAAATCCAGCATGAAATTATTCATTGCCTTGCTTTTTTTTAAAGAAAATTTATTAATTATTAATATTGTTGATAAACATTTTTTAAGAAAATGTTTATCAACAATATTAATAAATGCCCATTATTATACAATTATCATGAATACCATACAAAACATAGCAAAAAAAAAGACCAACTAAGTCAAGTATTTAGATATGTAGAAATAATAAAAAATAAAAAAAGAGGAACCATTATTAACTAAAATAAGGGAAGTTTTTTTTGGGTTTTTCGAAAGTACACAACCACACCACTTTTGAATTATATAAGGAAACATTAAATCTGCTTGAAAAGAATATAACATTAAATAAATGTAGAAGACAAGCTTACCATGGAGCAAATGTTATGAATGAGGCTTACAATGGTGTTCAGTCTCTTCTTTAACAAGATGAACTTAAAGCTATATACCTACACTGTGCAGTTCATAACTTAAATCTAGTTATAAAGAACACTGTGAAAAGTGGCTTGAAGTTTCAACATTTTTTGCAACTCTAGAAAGTATTTATGCATTTATTGCCAATAGTGTAAAAAAGTGGGACCTATTATCATAATTTATTGGTGTCTCAGGTTACACTTTATTCAATTTCTTTACAAAAAAGGTTGGATTCAATTTTTTTACAAAAATTGAATCCAACTCACTGGAAGGTACACTTAGCTTTTGGCAGTTAAGCTTCACTTAATGCACTTGCTGAATTACTAATTGTTAGAAAAAAGAGAAAGCAAAGAAGTGTATAGACTTCAGAAAACAATGAGCACATTTGAATTTGTATTTCTATGCATAATACAGGGATTATCTTTTTCCGGATATATCCGGAATTCCGGATATTTTTTTCAACTTATAATTTTTCCGGATATCCAAAACATTTTTAATAAATGCAAGTTGAGGTATATATTTTTGTAATATATTTGTTTTTTAAGCTTTTTCACTCATCACTCATAAAGAAATTATGAAAAGTATTTAAAAAAATTAGCATCACTTAGCTAAAAGCGAAATTAAAAAGAAAATAAGGGAAACAAATTCCGGATTTTTTCCGGATTTTTTATTTAAACAATTTTCCGGATATTTAAAATATGACTAGGATAACCTATGATAATATGTTCAAAGATTTTGAGTGAAGTAAATTTACCATCAAAATTGTTACAATCAAAAAATTTAGATCTCATGACTGCCACAGAATTTTGCAAATTGCAAAATTCATGACTGCCACAAAATTTTGCAAATACAGTTAATTCATGATAACTCGAACCTCCAACCTCGAAAACCAAGAAAAATGGTTTGACAACTAAAACAAATTCCCAATAAGTCGAACTTTGGCTGAAATGAGATAATTTATCAATAATAGTAACGTCGAAAGACCAAGGAAAATTGTTTTATTTTTTTCTTAACTTATCAATATTTGTAAATAGGGCAAATATCAAACATAATTTTTATGCAAACTTTTTTATGTATTAGTTTTTATAACATTAATTACTTCTTTTATCTTACCGCTTAAACGGTATCTTATTAAACTTGTTTAAATATTAAAAAATGATAAAATATGACTTAGGTGAAATGGCTTTGCGCTTACATTACATGTACGTAATGGTGCTCCAATTTATGCTTTAAAATCAGGCCTGTGTTAGAGGATTTCAAGAGATCAAATGAAACAGGCCGAGATAAAAAAAAGTTAGAGGTAACCCATATTTGACTTAACGAGAATTAACTGTATTTAAAACAATTCAGAAATATGTATTAGTTAAAACAAATAGTTTCAAATTTATTTGCTTTCATTCTACCAACCAAATTAATAGAAATGGAAATAATAAGGTGACCTTACAACAGTATTTCTACTACAAACTATAATGGTATCTGCTATGCTTAGAGAAGAAATAGTTAAAATTGCAAACATGAAAGAATTCCCAGAGCTATTAGTGATCTACAATATCTGTAAGTTTTGCAGACATCATCGCCACACTGGTGTTGTTGGTAGCGCTACCAGACACTGTGGCTACAGCAGAAAGATCATTTTTCAAATTGAACATAATAAAAAATTATTTATGCAAAAAAGACAAAGAATCAAAGCAAAAACAGCTAAAAGTATAGAAATCAAAGACTGATTATCAGAAATTTTGCCAATTTAAAATCAAGGAGAAAATTTTACAATTTTACATATACTGTAAATTATCTATTTGATTTCAGTTGTGTAACAGTTTTTTTGACAAAAAAAATTATTTTTTTCTTATTGTGGTGCGGGTCTAAATATTTCGCAGGGGGCCTAAAATTTGATGTTTGCCACTGATTTTTTATTTTATATATGATTTTTTTAACATTTTATTGTAATATATTATATATTGTATTCTATTACAATATGTAATATACTACAATATAATTATGTTACATTTTTTTATATTATATTATATTACATTTATTACATATTACATTGTACTGTATTGTGTGTTTGATTTGTAATTAATATTCCTTATACCTCATTTGATATTAATTTGTGTGGTTTTCATAAAATAGTTTCAAAAGATAATGCTTTTTTTGGCAGTTCCCAGTCCCAACGTGGCATTAAATAAACCAAACCATATATATTTTGAAACAATGTAACACTTCAAGAAAATTTACTAGTAAATTATGTTATATATACATAAATTATCTAGCAATTTATGTTATATATATATATATATATATATATATATATATATATATATATATATATATATATATATATATATATATATATATACATACATACATACATACATATATATATATATATATATATATATATATATATATATATATATATATATATATATATATATATATATATATATATATATATATATATATATATATATAAAATCAGCATAGTAAAGATTAAATAAAAAATTAAACATATCGGTGAAAATCAGCATAGAAAATTTTATTAAATTGATATCCTAATATTTCACTCTATATTGTTAAAGGGTAAAGTAATTAAGTGACCGCTGGAACCAGCACTTAATTGAGATAAAACATGAAACTACAAAAAAAAATTTGTGAAATCTTTAGTTTCTCCAATTGAGCAACAAATATAAATCATGCAGACTCTGACAATCACAAATAAAAGCAGATTACTCTTTCAGTATATTTAGTATCTAGATGACCCAAATGATAATTTCATTGACCATCTTGATCATCTAAGAATTCAAGATCTTTGAGTTTGATTATATCAGACTAGCTTGTCACTTCAAATAAAATCTTTTAGTTTTGGAATTCCTATTCAAAAAATATGTTTAAGGAAATTTTCAAATTGAATTTGATTTTTCAAGTTTTGAGTTTCTTTTGAATTCTCCATATTAAAATATTTTTTCTTAAGATTTTCCAAATTTTTTTCTAATATTTACATCGCTAACAACTGAAAATCTTGCTTTAATCCATAGTTGTTTTATTTTAACCATGATACATGGCTAAAATAAAACATATTGGAGGGCCTATCCATAGAATATCCAACTTTTTTGTAATTCCATATGGCAACTTTAAATTTGATTGGCAATATTTAAAGTGTTGTAAAATATCCATACCCTTTGGAAGCTGAGTTACTAAACAATATAATTTTTATTAAAGTAGTATAAAGCAGAATAAATAAAACTAACAGTATCTTACAGATTATAATGGTGTCGATATTAAGATAAAAGGTGTATAATTAAACATGATTTATTTTTAGGTAACTAAAAAGTATTTTGAAAATCATTACAACTCTTCATTTTTTTATTGCCATAGAATGAAGCATACTTGAATTAGCAGGCCTGAAATAGCAGCCAAAGTTTTTAAAGTATTGTATGGAAATTTTAACTTTATTTCAATGACTAGCTGTGCCAGGAACACAAACAAATTGTGGTCTGAGTTAAGTTACCTGAAAGGTGATCAGAAGAGTGGATGTTCATGATATAAAAGGGATACAATGTTGAGGTGAAGATGCCCGAATTCATTTGATAGTTTTATTGTCAATAACATTATAGTATTTGAATTTTATAGAAACCATTTTCTCTTTTTCTTCTATTAAAAAGAAAAAACCTTTTCTTCTCTTTCTCTTCTAATTTATTTATTTTCGATATCTTGTAGACTATTTTGTAATTGGATAATTTTTTGTAGATTAATCTGTAGTTTCTAGTTTTTTGCTATATAGGGTTAATATTAGGGTGTTTTTTTTTAAGGGTTATTTTGGATTTTTGTGTATTGTTGACATTTTTTTTGTTACTTAATACTTTGTTAAATTGTTTCCCTTTGTTTGATTTTAATAAGTTTGAGTTAAATTGCTTTTCTAATTCCTATTAATTTTTTTTATTATGAAACTTATTTACTTTTCTAACTAATAACAAATATACTAAATTTCAATTCAAAATATGATTTATAATATGAAAAATAATGTTAAAATGAAGGGTGTTAACCTTTTTTTTTTACATGACTAAAATCTTAAATAAAGAGAAAAAAAAAGATATTAAATGATTCATAAGCTTTTAATGGTCTGAAGCAATATCTTTTATATTTTGTAGAGCATTTCAAGCTATTTTATTGCCTTTTTTTTAAAGAAGAAAGACATACTGTTGTTTCAATGAGAGTAGGGCTGATCTGTTGGTATTAAAAGAAGGGCTGAATTGATGGTGCTTTCTCATATAATTATTATAGAGTACATATTTCATCACACGAAAATACAAAGCACTAGATTAGAAGAGTGGGCTATTGTGCCACTAATATTTTTAGTGGCTTCACAAGAAAAAAAAGCTCAATTGGTATTAATATAGCTGACAATGGACAATATGTACTTCAGATATTTTTTTAAAAATATTTTAAAGCATTAAATGAAGATTTATAATCTAGTACACATGCCATACATACATACATACATACATACATACATACATACATACATACATACATACATACATACATACATACATACATACATACATACATATTTGTGTGTGTGAATAATATTTAAATATAAATAATGTTATTTTTAATGTTATAGGTTGTCCAAACAAAAGTAATCCAGTGCTAACTGAGGAATTTAATAATATAAGCTTGTTTACATCATCAGCATATCTTTCAGAAAGGAATACTTATAATGGTTTAGGCCTACTGTTTTCGAAAAAAATTGCTTGGTGTATTAAGGCTGATAAGATTAATGAAGACAAATTTGGAGAGTATACTACTATAAATCTCATAAATGAATATTTGCTTTATGGTTTGCAGGTGGATGGTTATCGAGAAAATAATAAATTATATTTAGCATCTTACTTCAAATTGGATTACAGTTATGATGGTGAAGTTTGGGCTAATTTCTATGGTGGAATGGTATTTTTGTTTTATAATTTAATTAGTTAAGTGATAAATCAAGTTTTATAATGAAATGTTAAAAAATGATAAAAATACATTTTTACAATATATTTTGATAAACGTTAATTAACTTTAATGAATCAACAAAAATGTGAAGTAAATTAATTTTTAATTTAAAGTTATAGTTTTTTTGTTTGTTGTTTTTCACTTTACAGGTTGTTATTGAATATTTAAAAAAATTTATTATTAGAAATTTTTGAGTTCTCAATATCAAAGCAAAACTTTAGAAATACAAATTCCACTAATTGCAAAATTTCTTCGCATTCGCATGTCAGAAGAATTTGAAAATATAACATGTATAAAGCTTCAAGTTTATGGATGTCAAGCAATTTTGGCTAAAGGTAAGAGAAAATTGAACAAAATAAAAAACAAAAGAATAATGAAAGAAAAGGTTGTTGCTCTATGCCAAACCCTCAGTCGATGTAGCGGCACTCCTTTGCACCAGCAGGCTATAAGATAGTCGATGTATGTACTGAAGCCTCCAGCAACAGGCTATTTCGGTGTGACTATGTATGTCAGAGATGTTAAACCCGCATTCATATTTATACATATTATATATATATATATATATATATATATATATATATATATATATATATATATATATATATATATATATATATATATATATATATATATATATATATATATATATATTGTTTCTCTTTCATCAAGTCAATATAAAAAAACTTACAAATATAAAAAAAAGTTTTTTAAAGTTTTTAAAGTAAAAACTGCATAAACCATATATGAAGGATATTTATTGCAGCAAAAGTATACATGTTGTTATTTGAAATTTAAATCAATACCACAAGTTATATTGTGACTCCATCAAGTTGATGATATGTTTATGGAGTATTTAATATATTATAAAATTGATAAAATAAAGTTTACAATTATGCACAATTATTATGTATAAATGATGTAAAATATTTTAATTATGCATAATTATAATATTTTATAATTAATATTTTACATTAATGATTTTTTATTTTATTTTGAAACATGTTTATAAAACTTTCAGAGCAAAATTTTCAAAATATTTATTTATAGATGTCATAACTCCAACACTAATTTCATCTACTAATACTAATACAACAACTACCTTACTACCATTTCAGAATAAAGGTATAGAAGAAGCTTCCTCATTGAGTGTTGCTTAAGAAAATATTTTTCAATAACTAACCTAATACAATTTTATGGTATTATTTATTCAGGAAACTTTTTTTAATTAACCAAATAAAATTTGTTTTAATGACCATCTATTTCAATGGTTTTCAGTTCGCATTCAGTATTACAAAATGAAGCAAGGAAGTACCTATCAAGGAATTCAATTTAAAGATGATAAATATGATGGATATGTAGTGAACAATGAACTAGATAAAGGTACTGGCTGTTTAGTGGATGGCTTGAAACCTATGACAAACCCTTTTTCTTATCCAACGTGTTGGCTTGGGTGGCATAAAAATGTGGAACCCAAACCGTTTATCTATATTACACTGACTAGAAGTTCATTTGTAAATGGTATCCGTTTAAATACTTACATTAATCAAAGTGCAAAAGCTTCACCAATAAAACGATTTTCGCTTACATCAAATATTCATTATGAAATGCTTAAGAATCCTTTGTATGCTTGCACACCTGATTTTATCTATGCATTGAAATCTCAAGAGTTTGAATTTGTGTTGGATATTGGTCTATTGGAGTTACAATACTTACGACTTGAGATGGATTATTCTGAGGACTGGATATTTGTCCGACAAATTGAACTAATTTGGGGTTTGTCGTTTATCATTTTAATTGTTTTATGTTATTAAATATAAAGTTTAGAAATAATCATTTTTAAAAAAAAATTAACTTTGAGTTTTGTATAATGAGAATATCATAGTTTTTAACAAAAGTTTTAACAACAATTTTTATTAAAGCTAAGAACAAAATCTATCTACTACAGAATTATCTGAGTGTTTAAAGCAACATATAACATGATTACATGCTTCACACATTTCATACAGCAGATTTTTTGTTTTATTTTAAAGAAAGCGCTTGGTAGTTTTTAAGGATTAACCTTGCCCCCCATTTTATTTGTAGAATTGCCCTGATAACAAGATTTTTATATGCTAAACGCTTAGATTTTCAAAATACCTGTTTTAACTGTTTTTTGAATTTTTATAAAAAAAATTGAATAGGGAGAAATATTTTATTTAATTTATATGATACCACAAATAACAAAATGGATTACACATAACTTACACCGAACAATAAAAGTTTTTAAAAGCAAAAAATTTATATTAGGAACAATATTAATTTCACTTATGTAAGTTTTTCGTTAGGAAATAGGGTTATAAATAGCATAAAACATCCACTGAACAGTGGATATAGCCAGGACCATATTTTCACCCTTGGGGGCCTTTAGCTGAATCAATTTTCAGAGCCCTCGAAAATGTTTTGTAAAATTATTTTGAATGAATAAGTGATGATTGTGCAAAAAGAACTTTACAAAGATATTTGTCAAATTTATTATAAAATCTCTTTAATTAGAGTTTGACGGTTTTGAAAAACTGTCAAGCCCTAATTGAAGGGTTATTAGTTGAATTGTAAAGTGTTTGTTTTTCTTTGATTTTTACCTATTTTTTTTAATTTTTTCATTTTGAATAAATAATTTATGAATCAATTTATTTCAAAAAAAAAAATCTTTTAAAACATTTGGAAAAGTATTTTTAAATGTTAATTGAATTTACTAATTAAGAAGCCCATCTGCAAAATGCGTAATGACACAAAAATAAAAATTTTGAGTTAGTTCTATTTCCACAATCTATTTTATAGCAAGCCTAATATCATGTTGATCAGTTTATTTAATTTTCATTAACTTAAGTTACTTTAGTTTATATTTAATATATATAAAATTTTTGTTTTCAAATAAATAGATCTGAAGTTGTTCATATAAATTTTGTTTTTACATGATATAAAAAACAAATTTTTTTTATTTTTTTTTTTTTTTTTTTTTTTTTTTTTTTTTTATAACTTTATGTTTATATTTTTAAACTTACAGATGCACTTCCAAGTACTTCTATAAAAATGATTTCCACAGTTGTTGAGTGTGTTGTTCCAACTAAAACACCTGGTTTGTTATTTTTGTAGCTTTTTGGTTTGTTAACTTATTTTTAAATTAGTAGAAAAGTATAAAATTATTATATTAAAATTCTTGTTCTTTATAAACTTTGAGCTTTTATGACTGTTTGATTAACATATTTTTATAGTTAACCATTAAGTAATAGCCAATAACAAATAATTTACAGGAGTTATTCTAGAAAATTGACTAACCTTTTTGACATTCACCTTCCCTCCCCCAATTATTTTCAAAAATAAATATGTAAAATGTGTAATAAAAAAAACAAACACTTCTTACTGGTTGTGTTTAAATTTAATATTGATAAATTTAGTATTGGTAATGAAGTTCATTACTAAATTTATTTTGATTTAACACACAGCACAAAAACAAATTTAAGTTTACATTCTCTGTAAGTGTATTAATATCTTTTAGTTATAGTTTTTAATATATTTTCTCTTTTATTTACAGTAGGTATTGAAAGCTCCTCTTCAAACAATATTGTCATGATAATAATAGTTTTAATGGTAATTCTTCTGATTTTTTTGACTGTGTGTGTTCTTTATCGCTGCCGAAAAAATTTAAGGCATGTAATATGGAAAACTCCAAAATCAAAACCTATTGTTGTTCGCGCTAAATATGGAAGAGATGAAGTCTCATTTCATGGCCGAGAAGATTCTAGTCGATCGACCTTAGGATTATTGCACAATAACGATTGTAAGTTGATTCTTATTTTAATACTATTTAATAATGTTTAATTTGTACCTTTACCTTAAGGTTTTGTTTAACTCCATTTTTAAAATTGGGATAAAATTAATAATTTTCTAAATTTAATAATTCTTTTATTTAAATATTAATTATTTAAAAATGTTATAAATTTCTTTTTATACAACTAATAGAAATATTAGTTGCTAAATATAAATATTAATTTTATTAAATATTTATATAAAATAACAAAAAAAAAAGTATTCAAAACTTTTAGATGTCCATTAATAAAAGTTCTTTTAAGATTTTAAATTGGAGAAAGAACTAATAAGCACTCTGGTTGCAAATAATTTTAAATTCTAATAGTTTTTTGTTGATTAATTTATGTATGTAACGTAAAGTATGTAACGTAAAGTATATAGTGTATGTAATGTAAAGATTAGGTTTCATCTAATGATATTTGTATTTAATAATAATAATAATAATATATTTTGATATATTATAAAATAGTTATATATTTTGATAATAGAATTTTGATTTCTGCAAATTTTTTGTATAATTTTTTTGTTTAATTTTTTTTTAATTTTAATTTTTTATATTGTAACAAATTCTGTTATTAGTAAATTGTAATGAGGATGTTTATGCAGCCCCAGATAAGCCAGTAAAATCAGGATATACTGAAGTAAATGTGCAATATGCACAATACTCTGCACCTGATGAAGGCACTAAAGATGGTACAATTCACTACGCTGATGCAAAGCGGTATGCTGAACCTAACAGTGTTCCTCCAACTATTGTATCAAATGCTATATACCAAACTAGTGCAATCTATGCAAGTACATACGAAAATCCTTATAAAGCAGTTATTGCTTCTAGCTTATATTCGGATCCTGCCAAATGGACCAAACAGAAAGCATCAATCAAAATTTTTCCGCGCTCTCAGTTAACATTCAAGGAACGCATTGGTGTTGGTCAATTTGGAGAAGTTCATATTGCTGTAGCAAAAGGTCTAGATGAAATATATGGTACAATAGGACATTACAATTCTTGGGGATTAACAGATACTGCTTTAGTAGCTGTTAAAATGCTTAAATCAAAAGATGAGAACATTACATCTGAATTTATGAAAGAAGTTGAAATAATGTCTCGTTTAAAACATGAAAATGTTGTACGGTTACTTGGTATTTGCAATTATGATACTTCCAGTGCATCCAGTGATAAATTGATGGTTGTTGAATACATGGAAAATGGCGACCTAAATCAGTATTTGCGCGAAAGACATCCTGTATCTGCTGACAGTGTTCGTATAAGCCAGATTTCTCCAGATTCGCTTTTGCCAGATCAATTATTACACATCGCTGAACAAATTGCTGCTGGTGTTAAATATCTTCATTCAGAGGGATTTGTTCATCGTGATTTAGCCACAAGGAATTGTCTTGTAGGACCTGCTCTTCAAGTTAAAATTTCTGATTTTGGTATGAGTCGTTATTTGTATTCTAAACAATACTACAGAATTGAAGGCAAAGCAGTGTTGCCTATCAGGTGGATGGCACCGGAGTCTTTATTTTACGGTTAGTCTAAGTCTAGTCTAGTCTAGGTTTATTAATTATTATTAATTAAGTCTAGTCTAGGTTTATTAATTATTTTTATTTTAATTTTGTTATTTGATAACGAATTTATTTATTATTTATATTTAACGATTTTAAAATAATTTCAAGTTTTTACAGTTATATTATTTATAATAAAATATATTTTCAATTTTTACATTCATTTGACCTACCTTATAAAAAAAATGGTTGTTGCGGAGGCAAAGGTATTATTAAGTGCTTTGAAGGTCTTGTGTTTTAAGACACGTTTCTACTTATAGGAAAATTTACGCAGGAAACAGATGTATGGAGTTTTGGTGTAACATTGTGGGAAATTTTAACATTTGCCCGACAATCTCCTTATGAAAATCTTTCAGACCAGCAAGTTATATCTAAAGCTTGTGAAGCTGTCCAAAATCCTAATTCTCTGTTTCCCCTTTTATCAAAACCGAGCTATTGTCAACCTGAAGTATACGCCGTCATTTGTAAATGCTGGGATATGAATCCTGAAAACAGACCTACATTTACATTTTTACATCGGTTTTTTAAAGAAATTGTGAATAGTGTTGAATTAGCGGTCTAAGTGACAGAAAAATTGCGTAAAGTCGCGTGTAAAAAAATGGATTAAACGAAAATTGATAAAATTGGCAGTCCCTGGTTTCATTTTCTTAGCGGTTTAAAGCTTTAAAACGATAAACGAGTTTTTTAGTATAAATTGATAAATTTCTGTTTTTTTTAAACTCGATAATAATGTTTTACATTTTTTATTACTATTTTTATATATTTATTGTATTCAGGAGTTTTTAAAATCTTTTTTCTAAAAGTTTAAATTTTGTATTTACAAATATAAAATATTAAGAGTTTTTTTTTTTTTTTTTCTACAAATAAATATATTTTTGTGAACGCATCCAAAAGTTACGTTGTTTTTTTTTTTGTTTTTTTTTGTATTTATAAAAGAATCTCTTTTTTTTTTCGAACAAGTAAGATATAGGTTATTTTGTAATATATAAACCTTGATTGTGAAAATAGGCATGCTAATTTTGTAATGCAATAAAGGTCTGTCGCACCACCCTAGCCAAAAGGACCTATAGGATTTTGGAACAAAAAAAAAAAACTTTGATAAAAACATTTTTTAACTTATGTGCTTTAATTTAATGGGATTCAAAACTGAAATTTTTTTTTTTGTTGTTGTTCCAAATTCTTATAGAATTCTATTAGACTTTTTGACTAAGGGATCGTCCATAAATTACGTCACATTTTTTGACAGATTTTGACCTCCCCTCCCCCTCGTCACAAAATCGTAACACTTAAGAAGCAAGTTTAGTGTAAGTCGTCACAAAACCACCAACCTAAGTCGTCACGCTATAAATGGGGAGGGGTGTTTATAGCGTGACGTAGTTTATGGCATGCGTTGCTAAATTACCACGTGCTTGCCATTACTACTGCTTAATTTTACAAAATGCTGTCTTCGATTAAAATTCGTGTCTTAAATCAAAATGGTGTTTAGCCTTCGATTAAAACTCGTGTCTTAAATCAAAACTTCAATGCTTGGTAAATGCGAACCGTCATGACTTCTTTTAATTTTGATAAATTTTCATTTCCCGAATTTTTTCCAAGACGTATTTTTATAACAATAATTAAGGGGATCAGGGGGAACAAGAACCATTGGTTTTAGGAACAATGCCGGTTGCACGTTTGTGATTATAGTAATACAAATAATCGAATCACGTCTACTTAAATTAAAAAAAAACGGCATTATTTTGTAGTTTTACAATAAGTTTTTGGTGTTTTATTTCAAGATGTTAAAAAAAAAATGTTTGAGAAAAAATACTAAGTAATAGAAGCAATAAAGATTATTCTTTAGTGTGTTTTAAATACTAATAGAATAAATAAGTGAGCTAAATTTCAAATCAATTTGATTTTTAGTTTTAAAAATATCTCCGCCGCCAGCCCAGAAAACATGATTTTGAGAAAAATGCCTAAAGAACATAATTTTTTTTTTTAATTTCAATGTGCTCTCAACTGATTCCCATTCTATAGGTCCTAAATAAATTCCAAAATCTTTTTTAAATGACTAGAAGTGATAGATGTTAATTCTGAGTTTTACGGTTTTGTACTCATGTGTATTTACCTTAAGACTATCTATCTAGTATTTCAATATGTTTCAAGCTATCTACACCTTTTCAAGATGTAAATGAGAACATGTAAGTTGTAATTAAGAAGTCGTAATATGTAATTAAGGTGGTACTTGGGTGAAAAAAAAGTAAAAATTGAAAATTTCAAAGTGAATGTTTTTAAGTAAACTGAGCTATGCAGAAAACGCCTATGTAATTTGTTTCATTTAAAATAATTCAGATGATACTTAACTTTCTATTTAAAAAAAGGCACTCTTAAGCTCCAAATTCAACTTTCGTGGCAACGCCCATAGCAACCAATTTTGATTTACTGAAAGCCTCTAAAAATACGTGTAAAAACCCATGGTTGGGTTGCTTTAAGGTCATTAAATTGTTTTACAGAAATATAAACTTCATGCAAAAAGTCACCAATTAAATACATGTGTTACATGACATGACATTTAAATTCACTGATCTCAAAATAATAACTGGATAGCGCATTCGGAAAAATTTTTGAAGCCAGTTTTGGCCTACCAAGATGGCGGCGTAGTTTGCCGACGGTTATAGAAGTACCGTTTAAAAAATCAAAAAACCTTAAGCGTAATCGATAAAGATAAAATTTTAAACACAAATAAGGTTTTTTTTAAAAAAAAAACAATTTTTAAAAATAAAAGTATATATATAATATATATATATATATATATATATATATATATATGTATATATATATATATATATATATATATATATATATATATATATATATATATATATATATATATATAATATATATACCCACGGTATATATATAATATATATATATATATATATATATATATATATATATATATATAATATAATGTATATTTATACATATTCATAAAAAATATATATACATTGCTTAATATGAATATTATTTATCCTAATATATATATAATATATATATATATATATATATATATATATATATATATATATATATATATATATATATATATATATATATTATATATATATATTAGGAAAAATAATATTTATATTATGCAATATATATATATTTTTTATAAATATGTATAAATTTATTTTATTATAAGATAAATAAAATCCTTCAAAAAAATTTAATAACCAATTTATGTACCTTTTAGTTCTTAATTATCTTATGCTGTGTGCTAGAAGGTTAATAACACAACTGCATGATAGGCAGCTTAGTATCTGTTTAATATGAATCAGTCTTAAAAAAAATTGTTTTAAACAGATACTTGTAATGTACTTTTAGCATGAACTATTAGCTGAGCTCTGTGAGTACACACAACTCAGAGGCTCCTTCTAGAGTTTGTTATCATTAGTTATTTTAGTTTAATTTTAAAAGATTTTTCTTTTAATACAAATAAATATACTTACTATATACACACACATAAATATACTCACCTAGTACATTTAAGTGAGTATATATATATATATATATATATATATATATATATATATATATATATATATATATATATATATATATATATATATATATATATATATACATATATATATATATATATATATATATATATACATATATATATATATATATATATATATATATATATATATATATATATATTTATATATATATATATATATATATATATATATATATATATATATATATATATATATATATATATATATATGTTTTGTGGATATACCATCAAGGTGTTTAATGAACAGAGCTATAATATAGAAAATAATAAAACTATGTGTTGCAATCATCAGGTGAAATACTTTTCATTTTTATTTCACCTGATGATTGCATCAGCATGAAACTTAATGTTGTAATGTTGGAAAATTTGCATAAAATTCGTTTTATTTTCTAATATATATATATATATATATATATATATATATATATATATATATATATATATATATATATATATATATATATATATATTTATATATATATTTATATATATATATAAATAAATGTTTGTATGTATATTATATATATGCATATATAACTCCTGATAAGTCGTAACCTTTAAGTGTCCGAGGAAATACTGGAAGTTCAATTTTTTAAAGGTTTGAGTTATCAGGAGTTTACTGTGTATATATCGATGACATAGTGCACAGATGTGGTAAGTGCAAGATTAAAACTGTAGAAACTGTCATTTGTGCGCGTAATTATAATAAGAAGAGTTTTTGTATTTACCACATATTGTCAATTATTAGACTCTTTATCGTTTATCCTACACATACCATATTTATTCACAATAAACTATAAATAAAAACAGGTTTTTCTGCGTACTTATCTCAATTTGACCAAAATTTGTACTTACCATATCTGTGCACTTAAATGGTATACTAAAAACAAATGTTTTCATTGATTTTTGAATAAGACAAATTCAATCAACTGCTTCCTAAACTTTTTTCCAGTCAATTTGTTAGTTACTTCTTTGCATTGGTGATGAAAGTGTATTTTTCAGTAATTTTTTGAAATAACTTTAATCAATGAGAATAAATGCTTATCAGTTAAAGACGAATCTAGCATATGATGAGTTAGTTCTGTGAATACTTTTGATATACCAACTGATCTCAAAACAACACTTGCATTTGCATTTTTAATTCCTATATCATTAGGGAGGGTAATATTTGTTGATGTAAGAAACCTTTGGAAACATCTTTCTGTTCCTTCGCATACCAAAACACTTTTGCTTGGTTTAACTAAACCTCCTCTAGAGAATTTATTCTCAATAAAATGTAACATACATATGTTACATCTTTACATACTATGTATGTGTTAAACTGTCAATAATTATCCTTCAAACTTTGAGGAATAATGATTCACAGTTGAGTTTGACAAGAGTTAGACTTTAAATCTAAGTCATTGAGAGATAACTTTTTACTTTGGAATATAAATATTGTTTTATATTTTCACTGAATATTGAGTCCAGAAAGTTAATGCATTAAATAATAAAATGACTTTTATAATCCTAGAAGGAACCTCTGAGTTGTGTGTACTCACAGTTCTCAGCTAATAGTTCATACAGCATTTGTACAATAATGTTTCTACCTACAAAACTCATGATTTTAAAAGATAATTTTTTACTTTGGAATATAAATATTGTTTTATATTTTCACTGAATATTGAGTCCAGAAAGTTAATGCATTAAATAATAAAATGACTTTTATAATCCTAGAAGGAACCTCTGAGTTGTGTGTACTCACAGTTCTCAGCATTGTGTGTACAGCACAGTTCATACAGCATTGGTACAATAATGTTTCTACCTACAAAACTCATGATTTTAAAATTCTTAAAAGATTGTAGGTAGACATCGTTGCTGCTTACCATACAGTTGTGTTATTAACCTTCTAGCACACAGCATTGGGTAATTAAGAACTAAAAGGTACATAAATTATGAACCTCATTTAAAAAGTGTATACTAGCTGAATATTTTAATAATTAGGAATCAAATAAATTTATTTCGCCATCTTATTTTCCTTAAAAATAGTTTACTTTTCTTATTCGGTCAGAATTTTTAACCGCT